TCTGCGTGAGTAGACCCTGTGGGACGTCTGCCCCCGTGTGTCCACAGGCCGTGGCCATCCTGCGTGTGAGCGTGTGTATGCGTGTGAGCATGTCCAGGTCTGTGAGGAGGTCTCGTATCTGCATGAGTAGGCCCTGTGGGACGTCTGCCCCCGTGTGTCCACAGGCCGTGGCCATCCTGCGCAAGTTCTACTCCAGCAGCGAGCGTGCGCTGGGCTTGCGCTTCATCGGTGAGCTCATCGCCAGGTTCCGGCACTGCCCGAAGTGGGTTGGCAGGCAGGCCTTCGCCTTCATCTGTCAGGTCAGTATGGCCCCGTTGAGTGGTTGCCAGGGCTCAGCGGGGGAATCAGCCTGCCCTGAGCTCTGGCCAGGATCTCGGGGCCAGTGGACCCAGCTCCGTGTCTGGGACCAGCCCAGTGAGCTGAAGGGACTTGCCTAGGGCTGCCCAGCCTGTGCACACATCCGTTCCCTAGTGAGCGCCTCCTGTGGGCCACACAGGTTCTAGCTGCTGGAGACTGAGAGTGGACAGGGCCCTGCTCTCCCGGCACCCTCGTCTGGGCAGGGCAGGGCAGGGCAGGGCGAGGCAGGGCAGGGCAGGGCGAGGCAGGGCAGGGCAGGGCGAGGCAGGGCTGCGTCCCTTGCAGCTTAGGCAGCTGCCTCGAAGGGAGGGCAGGGCGGGTGAAGGACAGCAGTGCCTTGAGGCAGCCGTGACTTCATCTCTGTCAGCATACAGGACAGCGCCTTCTGGCCAGTGGTTTATAGCTGAGGCAGGAGTGGTGTAGCCTGCGCGGCGGGGCCCCGTGTCTGGGGACGACAGCAACCACGGCCGCCGCCATTTCTTGAGTGCCTCCTGTGCCGGCAGTCTCATCACCCTCGATACACAGCCTCGCAGCACCCTCGCCTTTAGAGCAGCTTTGTCCCAGGACCTGGGAAGCCCAGAGAGGTGCAGTGACAGGCTCTAGATCATACAGGGCATGTGAAGGACTCTTTTTTCTGCTAACGGGTTATTTTTAAGGTTTTAACTTTTTGCTGTGCACGTTTTCAAGCATGTATGAAGGTTGAGGGAACAGTAAAATGAGTGTCTGTGGACCCATCCCCAGCTTTTTTGCACCGAGTGATCCCACCTGCCCCAGGCCCCAAAGCCCTTTTTCTCCTACTGCACCAGTCCCCTGTTGGGCTGGAGGGGCATTACAGGGATGGTTCCCCATCTACTTGGAGAGGGACAAGGAGCCCTGGGGCAGTGGTTAAGGCATTTGGCTGCTAACCAGAAGGTCAGTGGTTTGAACCCATGAGCTGCTCGGTGGAAGAAAGTGGGGCAGTCTGCTTCTATAAAGATTTACAGTCTTGGAAACGCAGTGGAGGGTACTACGAGTTGGAATCAACTCGATGGAAGTGAGTTTGGTTTTTTCCTGAGGGGGGCACAGTGAGCGGCCCGACACCACCCACTTCTGTGAGGCCAGTCTGCACTCCAGATCACTGTGGGGAAGGTCAGTGAAACGGTTTTTGCTTTTACTTTACCCAAGATTTCAAAAATCCACAGTAAAACAAGAGAAAAGACACCAGCTAATTTTGTTCAAGAAAAATAAAAGATTTTTTTCCCTTTCACATTATTAAAGATTTAGAAAACCCAAGATAACACAAACAACTGGAAACGCTATCAGCCAGGTGTGACTTTTAAGTGCTGTATTGTTATTTACCTGTAGCTCTGGGGAGAGGCCCTGACCTGGAGGGAAGAGGGCAGACCCTGGAGTCCTACCAGCTGGCTTGAAACCCAGCCCCACTGATTCCTCACCAGTTGTGACAAGGGGCGGGGTCTCTGCCCTGCACTTCCCCACCATGGGGTGTGACCAGGGGCCCAGTGGTGGTCTCTGCCCTGCACTTCCCCACCATGGGGTGTGACCAGGGG